CATCACAACACGAGCATGTGGGGGACATTGCAGAGTCACACCACACCAATAGCAACACCAGTGCTTCTGAAACTGCTGCTTTATAATGAATCCCCACGCCCCAAAACTAAGCAGGTTAAAACAACGGCTCCCGATTTTGTGGGCCAGGCATGGGAAAGGCGGGGCTGTGCAGAATGGGCACAAGGACACCCACAGTTGAAATGAGAAATCACCAGGGCCTGATGCTGTCTGAAGTTCCCGCTGAGCTGAACATTCAGAATGGTAGAATCACAGGGCTAGTCACAGTGTCTGCTGTTGCCTGACACTTTAGTGAGCTGTTGAGGTGCCTACACGTGGCCCCACCCCCACCCCTAGAAGAGCAGTCTTGGGGTGTGGTTTCTCACATGGCATTTAACAGCTCCTAAAGAGAGTCCTTCTAAGAAGGGAAAGCACATTGGTTTTATCAGCCAGACTTTAGAACCAACCAGTCATTCTGTCACTTGACGACGGGTGAGTCACAGGATGGCCAAGTTCAAGGGGAATACAATCAAGGTCTGCTGCTAAGCGGGAGGAGGGAATTCCAAGAGGCATATTGCTGTGTCATCAGCTTTGGAAAATGCAATCTGCCTCCCTTGCACTGCAGTTATGCACACAGAGACCACTTAAGGCAAAGCTTAGCATATAGAAAGTGCTTGGTGAAGGGTAGCTGCTGTTATCAGATATGATGGCCTTGGGAAGTGCCTCTCAACACATCAGGTTGGTGGAGAGAGATGAGGAAGGAATAAAAAGGGTGACTGGTGGTAATGTGTTGGCAGCACTGGTCCATGACAGTGGCCAAGAAGATAAGATTTCCCAAAAGCTGAACACCCGTCTGTTGAGCTAAATGGTCCTGAGAGAGTCAGGACTTCTAGAGGGAAAAGGAACAGTTTACAGGCTACAGGAGAGGGAGTCTTGAGCAAGGGGAGCTGTGTGGTCCAGAAGCCAGGAAAGAGGAGGTGGAAACAAAGGCCAGGCTGGCTGAGGATGGGGAGCTGGACTGGCATTTCCTCAGCTCCATGGTGTGAAAAGAGAGGATGGGTCCTGAGCAGGACACAAGAGTCCCCAGTCCTGGCAAGGAACCTCTGCAGTTCAGGAATACAAAGCTCAGCCCGGGGAGACTGCATAACTTTGGGTCTGTGTCTAGGCTGGTCCCCAAGGCTGGCCCACAAACCTTTTCACTTCTGGAGACTGGGGAATCGGGGTGGGGGGTCTCCCTTTGTCTCATAGAATAAAAAGGCTGGGGGAGGATGGGGAGGGTCACTGTGAAAGGCTGGCCTTGAGACACAACATGGCTGTCACACAAACAGCTGCTATTGTTGCCCATGCATGACCAGAAGGTAAGGATAAGGGCTGGGAAATGCTATCTTCCAGATGTGCCATGAACCCTGACTGCACCCAATCATGGATCTGGGAGAGGACCACAGGCCCCTGCTCCTCCCTGTTGACATGTTGGCTGCTGGTGGATTCTGGAGAAGGGACTGTTGTGGAATATTATTTTAAGATGTGTTACATTCATTTATGCTGTGCAACAATCTTTTATGTTTCATTTTTTTAACTCTGTGTTCCTGTGCCTGTCTGAAACATCTGATTGGTCTAATAAAGAGCTGAAGGGCCAATAGCAAGGAAGGAGAAAGGATAGGTGGGGCTGGCAGGCAGAGAGAATAAAGAGGAGGAGGAGAAATCTGGGAGGAGCAGGATAAGGAGGAGGGCTCCGGGAGCCAGTCTCCCAGCTACATAGAAAGCCGTGGAGTAACAAGTAAATAGGGTATACATAAATAAAGGTAAAAACCCAGAGGCAAAATGTAGACGGGATAATTTAAAAGCTGGCTAGAAACAAGTCAAGCTAAGGTCAAGTACTTATAAGAAAGAACAAGTCTCTGTGTGGTTTATCTGGGAGCTGGGTGGTGGGCCCCCCAAAGAGTAAAAACACCCGAGTACAAGGGACAGCCATTACCTTCAGTTGTGCTCATTGAGAAGCCTGACAGACTCCCGTGGACAATTTTCAATCCATGGCCACACAGGTGATCTTGGTTAAACTCGGTCATAACAAAATGGTAGAAAAGGAATTGTAGGTGGGGGCTGATAGGGGTGGGAGGGAGACTGGAGAGGGTGGGGGATTATAGTCGTCAGAATATGAAATTGTCAAGGAGCAAATTCAAAAAGGTTCAAAATAAAATGCAAACTCCACAGCATGGCTCTGGAAGCAACGCTCACCTTGATTGGTATTTATTGTTCACTCCATTCAGAGTTCACTCCAACGGGTTCCATTGAGCGGCTTTCAAGCCCCTGAATGTTAGCGTTTTCTTGCCTCGGGACCTTCACCCACCCTCCTGCTCCCTTCGCACAGCTCTCCCCGCTCATCCTGCAACTCCCAGCATGGCCTCTTCAACCAAGACCTTCACAGCCTCCCACTTTGAACCGACTTCTCCTCCGGTCCCTATCCACCCTGTAACTGCCAGAGAAAACAGGAGACAGGGGAAATTACAGCAAACAGAAATGGGTTGGCTCATGGATTTAGAGCCAGGAAAAGTCCAGGATGAAGGAGGTGGGTATCTGGCAAACCATCTTCTTGGTGTGGCATCCCATGGTGGAAAAGAGGATGAGAGAGATTGACAGGCCAGACTTGGGCTGGGACTGTAACTCTATGGAGAAGTGCTTACCCGGCATGCACTAGGCTCTGGGAGTCAGTGCCTAGTACCCCTCCCACCCTCTCACACATGGCCACCTCCTTAATGACAGTGGCAGCTCGACACCGGAGGGTGGCCTCTCAAGGTCCCCACCTCCTCATCCTGGTGCAAAAACAGGTAAATTCCAATATGAATTAGGAGAGATTTTTAAGACACCTTTTTAATCCTGTTAAATCACGTTTTCCCCCTTCGCATTATTTATCCCAGCGTTGTATGTTTGTATTGTACAGCTTCACCGTCTGTTGCCCCCTTTTCCCACTAGACAGTGACACTGTAAGATGAAGACAGAGGCTATGACGCCCATTCTCACTCTGTGTCCCTAAGGCATCTGACCAAGCACCTGACCCTCAGAAGCTGTGCGGTGAACACCGGCTGTGGACAAGTCAATGACCTATGTGTGACTGAACCAAAGGGTGTGGACACCAGCCACCGTGAAGCCATGAAACTAGGGCAGCTCAGGACGAAATGCTGAGAGCAGTGGTGGCCTTGACCACTCCTGGAGGTGAGCTGTGCTGAAGGGATGGAGAGCTTTGTGGCTGCCAGAAGCAGGGCCCCTTTTGCTGGTGTGGTCTTTTTGAGATGGTTTTTCTGGGAAATATTTTGTCTGTGTTGAAAACACTGTGTCTTCTAACACAGAAATAAGAACACCATTACCCAGTGTGTTCTCATCCCAGGAACCGAGACCAATCAAGGTCTGCCACTTGAATGGTCTTGAGGAGGGGCCTGGCTCTGCCATCCTTGAAGGTCAGGCTGCTCTCCCTGGTCATGAAGTTCCCAGAATTTACAAAGTGTCCTTGCAAAAGCTTGTGCTTCAAGACTAAAGTCTCTCTCTCTCTCTCTCTCTCTCTCTCTCTCTCTCTCTCTCTCTCTCTCTCTCTCAACTGAACTCCATCTAGACAAGCAGTCTCCATTAAACAGGACTCATGGGAGTGAAAGCTTCTAGAGGCACCCTAGCCCAACCATATTATCCTAAAGGAACTAATGAATACACTTTCTTTGTGTAGGTGTGTGGATGTATGGACATGTGTTCGCGTGTGTATGGAGGCAAGAGGTAAGCATCTTCCTCAACGGCTATCCACTTTATCCTTTGAGACAGGGTCTCTCACTCAACCTGGAGTTCCCCAATTCAGCAGGATTAACTGACCAACAAACTCCTGTCTCTGCCTCCCCGTTGCTAAGATTACACTCGCCACAGTGCCTGGCTTTTTTCTGTGAGTTCAAGGGATTTGAACTTGCGTCCTCATGCCTGCACAGCAGCCACTTCATGGACTGAGCCGTCTCTCCAGCCCCTGGAAGTGGTTTCTTACACGAATGATTTAAATCTGACTTTTTCCTGACTCTAGTATGTGCTCTGTCACATAGAGTCCTGTGGAAAGTCTCCCAGTGACCAAAAGGCTCCAAAGGGATGCAGTCAAAGGGCACCGCTTTGCAAAGAGGCTGAGCGGTTTATCCCAACCCTGTGTGACCCTGGGCAAGTCTCTGGAGCTTGTGGGACCTTGTTTCCTCTCCGTGGATATCAAGAGAGCAACTTAAGCTATTTTCAGACCCTTCAGCCCCTGTCACACATACAGCCTGGTGAGTCTCAGTCTCTGGTACTTTCATGTAAAGGCAAGAAAGGCTAATCCGGGGCTCACCCCACCTTGCAGGATAACCCAGAAAGATGAGGTTTTCTTTCCTCATGGCACCTTGGCTACTGCTGGCACTTTCAGGAATATGAGAATCTTCAACAGCAATGGCTTTCGGGATAATTCACTGGGTTTTATCAACATGTGTGAACACCCCGACATTCACATAATATTAGAAACTGGAGTAGAACCGATGTCTGTCAGTTACAGGCAGTCTCCATCATATTCCTCCAAAGAAGCACAAATAACTTCCATGTCTGTCTTCTCTCAGGTTCTCCCAGAAGGCAGGGATTAAGGAGAGACTGAGTCTCTCTTATTGTGGTATGAATATGAAATGTCCCCAGTAGGCTTGTGGTGAGTTTGAATAATTGGTCTCCATTTGATGGTGCTGTCTAGGGTGATTGTGGGAGCTTTAGGGGGTAGGGCTTGCTGGAAGAAGTACATCACTAGGGGCGGGCTTTGCGGTTTTTGTAGCTTGGTCCCCCTTGCTGTTATTTGATTGTTTCCTGAGGGCAGAGGCAGTGTGACCAGCCAGCTCTCTGCTCTTGCCACCATGCCTTCCCTGTCGTTCTCACATCTTCCCCACCATGATGGACTCTCCCTCTGGAACCCCTTCTCCTTTGTTTTGGTCAGGGTTGTCATAGCAACAGAAAAGAAACGGGCACACATTCCTAAGAGGTCCAAGATCGGCACAAAGATCAACACACCATGGTACTGATGCGGGGCTGGAGAGGGAGCTCAGAAGTCAAGCTGCTCTTACAGAGGGCCTGGGTTGGGTTCCCAGCATCCACTGGGCAGCCTACACCTCCAGCTCCAGGGATCTGATGCCTTTTCTGGCTTCAGCAGACACCTGCATGCACATGGTACATGTTCCTACACTCAGGCGCATACACAGGCACATAATATAAATAAGTTAATCTCTGAAGGTATGGGTTCATGGAGCTCTTTCCTGAGTTCTGAGCACATATATGCATAGGTGATAAGTGAAGAAAAAAAAGCCTTTCTTGTTGGCAATTGTGAATGAATGTTAGTAATATTTTTGGCAGTACTGGGGGTTAAACTCAAGGCCTTGCACATGCTAGACAAGTGCTCTCCCCTGAGCCACCCCTTTACCCCTTACTCTACTTTTTATGTGGGGTCAGGGTCTCTCTAATTTGCCCATAGTAAAGCCTCATTCTGTGTAGCTCAGGAAAGTATTCAACTTATCATTCTCTGGACTCTGCCTCTTGAGTCATTAGGATAGTAGCCTGTGATACACAGCTCAGCAAGCTCTAGCAATTTGCACAGTTTGGCAGACACACATTGTAGTGATGCAATCTCAGAGGTGCCTAATTAGAAGCCAAAATCTGGAGTCTGCCTGAAGACGGTGTCCATGGGCAAGAAGTCAGCATTATAGATAGATGGTGGGTCTGTAGCATCCAAAGAAAACATTCCCGTGAGGAGACCCGAACAAGCACAGCAAAGCACCATCAATCCAAAGTTCGAGAAAGTCAAGGAAGGAGCATGCACCAGAGTCCACACCTGGGCTGATGCAAAGCAGAAGGGAATTTTTGGGGAAAACTGTTCTAAATAGGGTAAGCATCCTAATGGAAGTATGGATACGGCTCAGCGACAGAGTGCTTGCTGGGCATGCTAGAGGCCAGAGTTCCAGATCCAGCACCCAAAGGTAAGTGCAATAAGCAAGTAAAGTGTTGGATTTTTTTTTTTTTTTTGCTGAACATCATAGAAAATTTTTTTTAAAATGAACTACTGATCAGAAAGGTAGTTTTGTGGATCACAAAGCTGAGAAGTTAATTTCAGGTCCCTCTGAGTGCAGGAGTTGAAGCTGTGTTGCCAGGAGAGATGTTTTTCCCCCTAATGTTTTCATTCAGCCCAGCTCTTCCCCACATAGACACTTTGACATCTTCCTCCTTGCAGACCACTGGAAGCAGTGGCCTCACCAGGGCTTCCTTCATTCACAGTCTGCATCCAGCAGCAAGACAAGCCGTTTTTCAGTGGTTAAAGGGTTCTGGGTTTGAGTTCTTGGGGACCAGTAAAGCTGTGTGGTTTTGCCTGAACCAATCACAGTTCCTAAACGGTTTTAGCTAATGGGGTCCCACCCAAGAGTTGACAGGTATCAAACTGACCTGCACAATAAGAGTTTGGGGTAGAGAGCGGTAGCTCCTGAAAAGAAATCCAAGGTTCTTTTTTCCTCCTCTTTACCTAGATGTGTCAATGGGAGCTGCCTTCAATTCCAGTGCTCACTACCGGCAGCTAGCAATAGAATATGGAACATAAATCAGAAAATTGCAACAGCAAAGTCTGGGCTTTTCTGAGAGCAATGCACAGAAGTGTAGACAATTGTCCTCGTTAGGGTTTCTATCGCCGTGATAAAACACCATGACCAAAAGCACCTTGGGGAGGAAAGGGTTTATTTCAGCTTCCAGATCCACATAACAGTCCATCACTGAGGGAAGCCAGGGCAGAAACTCCAGCAGGGAGGAAGCCTGAATGTAGGAGCTGATGCAGAGGCCATGGAGGGTGTTGATTACTAACTTTCTCTTCATGGCTTGTTCAAACTGCTTTCTTATGCACTCCAGGACCACCAGTCCATGGTGGTACCACCCACAACAGGCCAGGCCTTCTTAAATCAGCCACTAATTAAGAAAACGCACAACAGATTTGCCTACAGGCCAGTATTACAGAGGCATTTTCTGAGCTGAGAGTCCCCCTTCTCATATGACTCCAGTATGTGTCAAATTGACACAAAACTAGCCAACACAATAATTAATACTAATAAAATCAGACAAATCATGGCTAGCTATGAAAGGAAACAGGCTTTTTGGAGAACTCCCTTGGGCCTGGAGGGCTCTGAGTCACAGCAGTTCTTGGGGTCCAGAAGCACCTAGCAGCCCATTTTGGGGACCATACAAGAGTACATTTGGAACTAGCAGACCAGGATGTTACCTGGGATAGAGATTCAGAGCAAAGATAAAAACGCCTGGGAAAGAAACCAGCTGGGTTTTGAGAAAACCAAAACATTGGAGACATATCAAGTGGAGCTCTGATTATTTTGTACATTTCATAGACCTTATATGCAGCCCGCAGATGCAAAGGGTGTCATCTTTAATGCTCAAATTACCATGGCTCCAAGCTCCCACCTGCTGGATTACAAAATTTATAAAACAGAATCACAGTTTTCCTGACAGTTCTGTCACAGTCTGTCACCTAGGCCCGAAGCGGTTTACTCGTCCACAAATCCATAATAGCCCTCAACAAAACAACTCAATCCGTTACTGGCTTTCACGCCCTACCCAGTGAGGCTCAAACCTACCATCTGGGACAGAGGAATAGACTAGGAGGCCATGTCTCCCTCTAGTCTCTTCCCTCTCTATCCGGTAGCTGGATTCAAACAAACTCTCTGCTCCTTCCATAGCTCCACCATGGATACAAGCTGGAAAGAGTTCACTTGTTGGATTAATATTTATGAGTGCTAATACAGTATGTGTTGGGCTTTCCATCTTAATGGAAACAACAGAAAAAAACGGGTAAACAATGTGTATACACATACAACAGTAAGAAATGTGGTTAAAACTATGTGGGTAGAAATTAATGTAATCCGTCACCTTGGCAGGCCAAAGAAGAAAAAATCATAGGAGCATATAAATAAATCCATAAAGGGCTATTTGAAAAAAAAAACCATCATCCATTCATGATAAGAATGCTTAGCAAAATATAAAAAAGAGGCAGATTTCCTCAAATTGACAAAATATCCCTACAAAGCCCCACAGCCAGCAACCTGTTTTATGATAAGAAACTACACATTTTCCCAGGAAAATCAGGAATAGTGGTGTACGCTTCCAACGCCCTATGCAAGGCATCAAGGCAAACGTCTTAGTCTCTGTTTATGGGGGTATTTCCACAAAGGTATCCCTAAGGAAGGAAGACCCACTCCAAATGCAGGCAGCACTATCCCATGGGCTGAGATACGGGGCTAATTGAAAAAGGAGACAGCAAGCTGATTTCCAGCATCCATCTTTCTCTGCTTCCTGGCTGTGGACATAACGTGAACAGCCACATCATGGTTCCTGCTGCCCTGCCTTCCCCATCACAGTGAACAGTACCTTCAAACCCTGAGCCAAAATAAGCCCTTTGCCTCTGTTTTTTTTTTTTTCAATCACTGCGATAAGACACCATGACCAAGGCAACTTAGAGAATAATGAGTCTATGGGGGGCTTACAGTTTCAGAGGGTGAGTTAATTATGGTAGGGAACATGGCAGCAGTCAGGCAGGTGGGCATGGGACTAGAGGGGTAGCTGTTTGGAAACCTCAAAGCCGAGTGACACACCTCATCAATAAGGCCGGCCCTTCTAATCCTTCCCAAAGAGCTGCACCAACTGGGGACCAAATACTCGAGTATATGAGCCTGGCGGGGGGGGGACTAGAGGGGTAGCTGTTTGGAAACCTCAAAGCCGAGTGACACACCGCATCAATAAGGCTGGCCCTTCTAATCCTTCCCAAAGAGCTGCACCAACTGGGGACCAAAGTATATGAGCTTTCCTGTCCAGACTGCCACATCTTCTTTAATTTGCTTCTGTCGGCTGCTCTGCCACCACAATGAGAAAAGTAACTAAGAGATGTAATAAAATTAAAAATTGTAATTAGAATTTTAAAGATCACCATTGGTATGAACTAACCTAAAAGGAAATACAGAGGTACAGATAAAACTGTAGAGAGAGGGGGGAGGGGATCCATATCAGGAAAACACTGTGAAACTCAAAACGAAATGAAATCGAATATAAGCCAATGAGGAGATTTTTCCGGTGGGGGCTTGAGATGAGGATGTCGGTAATTCTAAACATAAGCTATTGCTTTGATGCAATCCCAAACAAAATCTCAGCAAGTTGTTATTTGTATACTGACAAACTAATTCTGAAGTTTATATGGAAAGGCAGACAACAGAGAATAGCCCACACAGTGCTGATGGAAGAGAACAGAGTTGGAGGACTGAGAGTACCTAGTTCAGCACTTAGTACAGCTGAATCAATATGGGGGTATTTTCTTAAAGAAGAGATGAGTAGACTGATGGAACAGAATGGGAATTTACCCATTTAAAGACAACTAACCTTTGACAAAGAAACATAGACAACAATAATAGAAATGATAGTTTCTCCAGCAAGTGGGGCTGGGACTATTATACACCCACACGAAAAGCAATGAATCTAATACAGACCATTCATCTTTCATAACATTAATTTAAAATGTACATGAGACCTACATCTATGACTCAAAACTATAAAACTCCTGGAAGACAATACAGGAGATTGAGACAAGTGAAATATGTGCATTATAATCTCCAGGGCAACCACAAAAAAAAATACAGCAGAGATATAGATAAAAAGCCAAGACAGTAATCAAAATAGAGTGCTAAAAGTATTCTCCTAACTCAAAAGAAGACAGGAAAAGCAGGATAGAGGAACACAGCATTGACAAGATAAGAAAGGACCAGCAGAATAGTCATCCAGGAAAAGAGATGCACACCCATCTCCCAGCTCCTCCTTGGTGAGGAGCTACAAGACTTGGACATGACAGATCAGAGGCTATCAGAGACCTCTTGTGAAAAGGAAGTAGGAATTCAGAAAGAAAAGCATGATGACAGAGAACCTTACACTTTCCCAAAAGAGGAACAGAAGACACTCATCCATTCTGACGTTTCCTGAACTCCAGTCTAGGAAAAGACCAGGACTCACTCATCTCCTCAATTCAAATGGCCCCACTCCTACCCCACTGGATTGAGCAGCAGCCTTTGAATAAAGTCAACGAGTATAACATCATCAACAGGGGGCATCTCCTTGCCAGAGGGGTGCTCTTCTTTCACAATGAACCCACAGTTCCTCTTTCTACACTTAGATATCAGACTGGGAGGGGGCAATCCGAGAAGATCCACTAAGATGCTAGGATTTGGAAGCCTGTCTGTGCACACAGATTGGAGGCTCTTTCTCTAGGTAGGCTAATAGTCCCAGTGACAGACCCAGACATAGACCGTGGCATGGCCCTGGAAATACTGTTGTCTCCAAAGACCTAGAACTTCTCTCACCAGCTAATAGAAGCCAGCTAGTTGAAAGACAACTGTATCCTTCCCGAATCTCTTCCTTTCCATGGCACCCAGTCATGTAGACCCGGGGAAACCCCTTCCTTCCCCTCAGGAGGAACCAGAACAACACTTCACAATGAGGGTCTATCAATTAGATGGTTATGTATGTGTCCTGAGTACCACGGAAGAATTGTTAATCACAAAAAGCCAACACCGAGAAACCCACAATGTATATAAGAAACATCAATCTGCCAAGACCAGGTAAACAGTGGGTGACTGCAACAGACCTCAGCCTCAGACCCCATAGTGCTGTCTGGCCTTTGAGACCCCCCACAATGCTGTCTGGCCTTTGAGAGCACCCTCAGACATCAGAGCCCTGCTTCTCCTTGACACCCATGTTCTCTCCCAGTTCTTAGCATGGACAACCACAGAAGCACAGGCACATAATTAACCAATGCTGACACTGAGTTGACTCAGGCACTGGAATTATATAACACACGTTTTAGAGCCACAATATAAAGAATTTTTAATGATTAATCACACTGTTTCCTGAAATGATTAAAAATAGCGAATCTGAGTAAGAAGCACAGGTT